AGAGCACATGCGCCACATACGAACACTTTCCGATCGTTTATCTCAACACGGGGTGACGATCAACGCCGAAAAATGTTCGTTTGGTGTCAACTCCGTAAACTTCCTCGGCCATCGTATCTCCTCTGTAGGTGTCGTGCCACTGCAGGATAAAAGTCAAGCCATCATCGACTACCTCGAGCTCCATTCTTTCAAGCAGCTCAGGCGTTTTGATGGGCTCGTCAACTTTTACTGACGGTTTATACCCAACTGCGCCTCGTTGATGCAACCTCTCACGGACTTTCTCCGAGGCAAACCCAAGAAATTAGAATTTCCTACCGTAGCACGCGCTTTTAAGTCGCTGAAAAAGGCCAAGGCTAACATAGCTTCTATAGCGCATCACGATCCGGCCGCTCCACTATCCCTCAGTACTGAGGCCTCGGATGTGGCAGTTGGCGCTGTTTTGCAGCAACGAGTAGCAGACACGTAGCAGCCCTTAGCGTTTTTCTCCAAACGCCTACAACCTAACGAATCTCGCTACAGCAGTTCGGTAGAGAACTACTAGCCGTATATCTAGCGATACGTCACTTTCGACACGTCCTAGAAGGCCGCTCCTTTGTCGTCTTCACCGACCAAAAACCCCTGACTTACGTGCTCGGCTCGACTACCGACCGATACTCTCCTAGAGAGTCGCGCAACCTTGACTATATCGCTCTGTTTACGACCGATGGACGGCATGTCTCAGGTGTGCACAACGCTGTCGCCGATGCACTTTCCCGCATCCAAGCTATCTCCGCTGACGCTGGCACTGCCATCGACTTGGCAGCCATGGACACAGCGCAACTCAGCGATCCTGAGGTTGAGCTACTACGCAGGTCTCCCTCATTGGACATACGACCCGTTCCGCTGACATCATCAGACGGCACTACACTCTGCGATTTATCTCTGGGCACGCCGCGACCAATCGTCCCACGCGAGTTCCCGCAGACCGTGTTCGACACGTTGCACGTCTTGTCTCATCCAGGCGTTCGTGCATCGGTTAAACTCGTAACCGCACGATTCGTTTGGCGCAATGTTAATTGGGACGTCCGTACTTGGGCAGCTGCTTGCCTTCCGCGTCAACGCGCGGTGCACAAGCACACGAGAAGCCTATTAGGCACATTTCCGACGCCAGACGCACGTTTTCATCACGTGCACGTCGATCTCGTAGATCCTCTGCCACCTTCCAAAGGCTCTGTGTATCTACTGACCTGTGTCGATCGATTCACTAGGTGGCCGGAAGCTATTCCCATACCTAACTGCCCTTCGGAAAGGGTAGCGAAGGCTCTTCTGGAGCGTTGGGTAGCTCAATACGGCTGTCCCGCTATCGTGACCACCGATCGAGGATCACATTTCTCGCCAACCTTTGCCACGTTGCTTAAGGATTTAGGTTGTCGCCACGTTCAGACGACGGCGTATCATCCGGCCGCTAACGGCATGGTGGAGCGTTTTCACCGCCAGTTGAAGGCAGCGCTACGTGCGCACGCAGATCCTTCATGGTCTGAAACACGTCCCCTCGTTCTCCTAGGTTTAAAAAACACGGTTAAAACCGATTTCGACGCCACACCAGCGCAGCTAGTCTATGGTTGCACGCTGCGGTTGCCCGGACAGCTGGTAGCACCAGCCCCATGTACTTCCACTTTTGACTAAGGAAGTTACACTGATCGATTAGCTCACCAGATGCGTGAGCTACGTCCACCCGCTCATCGAGTGCAGAAGACACCAGTGTACGTGCCCGAGAAGCTGTCTACGTGCTCACACGTCCTACTTCGCGCAGATGGTGTTCGACAGCCTCTTCAATCGCCGTACATAGGACCTTACAAAGTGCTACACCGTGCGAGTAAGACATACACTACTGACTGCGGTGGTCGACGCGAAGTCGTCACCATCAACCGTCTAAAACCCGCCTTTATGGAAGAAACCACCTCGCCTACTTCGTCTAGTAGTGCTTCGTGCGACGTCACAACTCACCGCCCCAGCTTACAACATCCTAGTGCAATTCAACCAGACCACGATCTCGGTCTATAAGCCGTCCCAACATCTCCCGAATCTAGCCCGCCGCCTCCCACGACCAATCGCCGTGGTTGGAATGTGCGTACACCCGTTCGTTTCTCCGACTATGTACAGTGTAAATACGTTTAGCTTTGTAGATATTGTATATATTTGCCCCATTTTTGGTCGATTAACGTTTTGAAAACAAATAAAAATATCAAAAACCACTGAAAAACCTTTTTCGGAAAAAATATTCAAAAACCAAAAAATTTAAACACGCAGATCATTCGTTTTCTCTTTTTAACCTTTTTGTGCGTTTTTCTATTTTCTGATCTCTACATGCCCCAAACCCTCCCTTCGATCGACTGGCCCATGCAAGGAATGTTTTCGAGGGCCCCGACGCGAACGCTGGTCGTTTCTCCATGGAACGGGTGTCGTTTCTCCGCGGGACGAGTGTCGCTTCTTCGCGGGACGAGGGTCGTTTCTTCGTGGGGCGGCGGGGGGACAGACCACTCCCAAGCGGACCGTTTGGCCGCAGCGGAGGTTGAGGTCTTGTCGGCCTTTTGCTGGGCTAGCCAGTTTTTTTGTAGCTCGACAAACCCGCTCCAACGGCTCGCCGAAATGCACCCTGCTCTGCAATCAATAAGTCACAAATCACAAACGGCACAGCGGACTCCGACTTCCGGCGAACCCCCATTTACACGAACGCTCGCTCATTTGTACTTGGCACGATTTTGCCTTACGAGCCTTGATTCAACAGTCCTTTTCGAAATCGAAGGCTTTCTATATTCAGCCTTCTAGGAGGGGAGCACTGCAGCGCCCAAAAAATGACTCTTTCATGTACAATTTAATTGTTGACCGATTGTACATTATTCTTTCTTGTTTTAATCTTCCTTACAACCGGCTCGACACTCGACCGCCTTGTAAGTTCCCGCGCTCACGTGTTCGCTCTCGTCTCGCTTCATCCGTCCGCTTCTTATTGCGGCCCATCGAATACAGTCCGCTGTGTCCGACTCCGATTGCCTTCTGATATCCGCGCTTAATTTCGCGAACCGTCTCGGACTAGTATTAACTAGTCCTACACACTACCTGTTACCCACTTCGACTTCAGAAACGACTTTTTTCGCTGGAGTATCGTCGCCGTCGACGGGATCTCATTTACACCAGACAGATCCTAAGGGGAGAACTTGGGACAAAGCTACAGACTTTTCGACACAACGTGGATACCTGGACACAGGGTCAAAAGTGGAAGCTTTACAAACAAGGAATACTTTTCGTCCAGCCTGATGCTGTCCTATCTACCCGGGTGAAAGACTGGAAGAGCTTATTATAGAACACAGTGGATGCAGAGACTGAAGAAGGCTTTAAGCGTCTGCTAGATTGCCACCAGATAAGTACCGCGGGTTCGTGTTGTTACTATTGCAAAGGCGACGATCCCCAGAGGCGCATTGGCTTGCAAACATAAGCACTAATCTCGCAATGAATTGGAAGTAACGGAGCTGACAAGTCTTCCCTCGTGCTCTCTACTCAACAATGACTCTCCAAAAACCGATTACGATTCTTTTCCTCTCATTCAAAGACCACAATAAAACGGGACGTTAAAGTGGTCGTTATCCACAGTAACAAAATTGCGGAATGAAAATGAGTGGGACGGCCGGTGGCCGAGTGGTCTGCACGTTTGCTTTGCAACCATAAGGTCACCGGTTCGAATCCGCGTAGAGGTGGGCATCCTCGGGGTAAACTCAGCCCGCGCGCGACTGGTGGTGGTCGCGCGGCAGCGAAGCGCCGTTATGGCGTTCAGCTGACACATTACTTTTACTTGCCAGTAAGCGAAAAAGAGCACCCAGCATTGCGACTGGATAGAATATTCTCGATGTTATGATGGTGAAAAATAAGCAAGTGTAAGAACAACACACTATCATGAAGCAATAAGATTAGGTGCAGTCACCGAGGCTCAAGGAAATTCGGGAAACAAACCCAGCCAATGTTCGTCTAGTCTACGTTTAAATCCCTCCAGTTTCGCATGCTAATACAGCAGGAAGTTTATGCCAAAAAGGCACAACCCAGTTTGCGAAGTTCCTGGCTCTTAACTCCAGCCTACATATGTGCTGCTTCAATTTCATGCAATGGCCCCGCAAGTTGTCTGACGTAGCTGGTTCAAACAGATCGGTGGGCCTGAAACCTTTCATGATTTTGAACGTCTCTATTAAGTCACCACTCAAGCTACGTCTTCTCATTGAGAACAAACCAGTTAGCTAACCGGTCCTCATACGCTAACCCGCGCTCGCCTTCTATCATTCGTGTAGTAAGTCTTTGCACCTTCTCAATACAAATAATATTTTTCTGCAGGTTGGGTGCCCATGCCTGAACACAGTAGTCCAGATGTCGTCTGACCACAGTTTTGAACAAAAGAAGAAACCTCTGGCATGGGACAACTCAAAACGCTCCTGAGACGAAATAAATCCTGTCGCGCGTTATTAGCCGCATGCCTGCACTGCGCCGAGGGCTTTAAGTCAATCATCATGATGACACCTAGCTCACGTGCCTCGGTGACATGATGCAGTGTTAGGGGCCTATTAGATGTATGCACAGTAAAACATCACGCGGGGTTAGGATTTGACATTTGTTGGTGTTCAGTGGTAAGTCCCATAAATGTGACCAATTAAGAACGGCAGCAAAATCTTTAGATAACGAAGCCGTCTCCCAGCTGACAAGCTTCAAGTCGTCAGAAACATATAGGAGGGGTCTTCAAGTAGAAGGACCAAGACATTTTTAAACATGAAAAATAGCAACGGACCGAGTACTGATACTTGAGGAACTCTACTGTGAGCAGTGCCTGCCGTCGAAATAACGTCACCAACGCTACCATAAAGGAATGCAGACAGCCAAGAAAGCAGTTGAGGAGGGATTCCAAATCAGGACATTTTTCCTAACAATAAGCAGTGATTCACCGAGTCAAAAGCTTTACAGAAGTCAAGGAAACACACTTATACTGGTATGCCATCATCGAGAGTTCGAGGAAAGAGCAGGTTGGTAAGGCATGATTTTTTCTTGACGAAGCCATGCTGTTCAGTTCCGATCAAGTTATTAGCAAGAAGAAGTTCAACGATTCGATTCCTAATGATCTTCGCTAGACACTTGAGTAGAACGCTAGTCAGACTAACAGGCCGGTAGTTATTGGGTGAAGATTTAGTACCACGCTTATGAATCGCCACTACAACTGCCTGCTTCCAATCCTGTGGTATCCACCCCACACGAAAAGACATGATGCACAAGACAAGAGTGGGAAGCTTGAACATCAGGAATTGGCCTAACAATAGCGAGATGCACAATATCGGAGTCAGGTGATTTGTATGGGTTAAAGTCCTTCAGTACAGAGAAGACGTCTGAAGCAGTTATGATGATTTCGTCCACTCTGCACTTGCTTACGCGATGCGACGTCAACGGTAGTGAAACACCACTGTCCGCTCGATGAACTCTCAGGAAAACACGCAGTAACTCCTGCACTTTATCAATGTCTCATGTTGCCTGTTGCCCATCTTTTGTGATTAAGTTGCGGCACAATAGTGGAGGTGTTTTCCCACCTCTAGCTGACGTGATGATAATGTGATTAAATTGCAACTACTTCCCTTAAAGAGGCTTTCTACTGGACGTTGCTGTTATAACGCTTTGGGTGCCATTTTGCATTTTGCGCCAGCCTAGGCTCATAGGAGTATTTGACCTGCCTCTGCAGTTTGACCGTCAAATTTCGACTTCTTTTGTACTCAAGCTACCGGCGGAAACCAGCAGATTCATGGAACCTTCTCCAATGTTTATTCCGCCGTTGCAACATCGATAAATACGTCGGCGTCATCAGCGAGGCTTATCTGAATGGCGCCTGCACAGGGAAGCGAACGCTTCCAGCAACTGCATGAGGCCACTTTTGATCACGTGCCACCTCTGTTCCAGCGTTGCTTCCTCTTGTTCAGGAACCCAGGTAATGCGTGCGGCTCTACTCCTCAGAAGCGTCGTATTAAGCTGACTTAGTTTCCGCGTCAGTCGGGGCTCAGCTGAGAGCCTCGGGACACAAATGGAGAAGGAAAGAACGAAATGACCGTTCTTACCTATAGGACGCTCAACGTTTATGGCTGACAAGCAACCATTACAACACTTAAGGAAGAGGGGATGTTCTCGCCACGACTTTTTGTTGGAAAATTGAAGTGCTGCACAAGAGCGTTTTCCTTTACCCCCTGTATTAGTTTATCCTAAAAGGAGTCCGCCCTATTAAGAGCATGCTACCAGTTGGCATGTGGTAGGTTTAGGTCGACTACAATCACAAAAGTTGGCGCAGCCCGTTGTAGTAGATCGCTAAGCTCCTTGTCCTCTCCTCGCGTGGAGCTGCGATAAACAAAATTAACTCAGATTAACCCTGTACCCTCAAAAGCAAGAAGTAACTTGAATATTTTGCGTGCATATGGTAAACGGAGCTTCCCAGTGATTAGTGAAATCTTATAAGCAAGAGCATTTCACCCCCATTTGGATCCCAGGACAATCTGTTCTATAACCGAGGAAGTCCGCTAACAGGCAATCATTTATTGTCATTTGGTAAGAGCCAGGTCGCTGTGGTCGCAATAACGTCGACAGATCTACAACTCATCGTCAGCTCCCCTTTACAAGCATGTGTACCAAACATAGCAGCGTTTGCCGCAGCTGTTCTCCGCTTTCAGCCGCACTTTTAAAGTTCCCTTCGAGCGTAGAACCCGAGGTGTACCCCGTTGTTTGCCACACTTTCAGTAGGTTTGACTGTGAATGCTACCTGGGCCCTCGGAGACAAAGTAGCACTGATGCCACCTGCACCAGTTGCTTCGGAGACCCCGGTCACAACTCGTTTTTTCATTCTGCGGCGGGCAAACCTGCCCTTATGGAACATGGGTCTCGCAGTTGTAGCTGACTGAAGTGATTTCGCGCACCTTGAAGAGTTGTCAGAAAGCCTTTATTTAAGCTCGGCTTCTGAAGAACTCGCCACCGCTGCCCCTAAACTGGCCGATCGATCGCTCAGTTGTAACCTGAATTTGTGCAAGGACCAAATTTATCACTGACGCAACATTGGAGTCATGCAAGAGCGGTATTTCTGTAGCAATCTTCCGAATAGTAAGCTGGGATCCAGTTATACTGTGTGGAGAGGCGAGATGGGAGCAAGTAACAACGTCTGTCTGGGGAAGTTGATTACGAGCTCTACTTACCATAATTTTTGTTAGAGATGCAACCGGATTTCTATGACTGGGACCGCTGTTAGCTGATAAAAGAGAACTAAAGTCAGTATTTTTAAAGCTAATACTGAACTGGCTTTGGAACTGGAAGCGAACGTATCAAGAGCCATCTGATATCGGCCATTTGTTCGGTTAGCCAGGCAATTGACAGAAATGAAGTGCTTACCTTGCATCATAATCAATACTACAATTCTGCTAATAACCAGTGAAAGCTAACGATGCCAATGTAGTTACAATTGATTGCTGACAAAATCAACGGGTGACCAAGTTCAAAAATGAGGATTGGAGACAGCGAAACACACGTAGTTTTGGAATACGCCGCATAGCCACTAGCAAATACGAGCAAGCTATAGCGTCACAGTAACTCACAAGTATTTCATTGGGTTCTAGAGAGCAGACGTGAAAACCCTACTAAGCTTCGTCGATTACAAATCATGCTAGGTTTGATGCGCATTGCAGCGTTACGACGTTGATCGAGGGTCTGTAGAACTTACATGATGGAAGGAACATCCCAACTTTCTCAGTGACTTGTTGTCTAGCAGCCGTTTGAGACTTTATTCACGACTCTAGTGGATAGGATGAGATACGTGAGAATTCGGGGCCTTTGTTTAATCACTTTCCACCTATCTGGGAAGCAAACCTGATATCTGTGAGGTGGACAATTCAAAAACAAACAAGACTGAAACCTGCATAGCTAAATCGAAAGATTATCCCGAAAATCACACGATTCCGCGTACAGTAGTGTGACGAACTTGATAAATGATTCAACGTGTCAAGCGTAGTCGAACTTAACCGGTTAATGTGGACGCATAGACCTCAACGGAAACAGTCTGCTGATATCCCATTCCAAGTTGCAGGCGGAAATAAACATCTAGTGAATGAACGGCGATCGCATTTCGCGTGGCTAGGTCAAGTTCAAGTTCAGTTGGGACCGGAACGATAGGATAATCCCGTGAATGTTCCTTCTTTAGCGTGTCATCGGATCGGGAATTGACAGGTCTGTTTGAGATATTGAAAAGACTAAAACAAAGACCTGTTTTGCGTAGAGCAACACGGTTTTCGCAAAGAATTTTCGTGTCAGACGAACTTGCTGGTAGCTCATGAGAGCTGGGCTGAAGCCGTAGACAGTGGACATGCGGTGGATGTGGTGTTCATTGACTTCGCCAAGGCCTTTGACACTGTCCCCCATTCGCTAATCTCACTGAAGTTGAGGTCGTATGGAATAGCTGGTCGCGGTCTCCAGTGGGTGTCAGCTTTTCTGGATGGACGGGAACAGTGTATTCGTGTGGGAAGCTGTCTTTCGTTTCGACAAGCTGTACTTAGCGGCGTTCCGCAAGGCTCTGTCCTAGGTCCGCTGCTTTTTCTCTCTACTTGAATGACTTGCCGGAGGAGATTGAGGTACCATCGCTCTTATCTACTGATGACCTAAAGCTCTGGAAGATTGTTGATATCCCTGGAGGTCCTGCGGCTCTTGAACGGGCTCTGGGAATGGTCTGTCTTGTGGTTGCTGCCCATAAACCGGGCAAAGCGTTCAGTTCTGCGTATCGGAGCGTTTGCTTCCTCCACAAGTTATGTGCTCGATGGGAGTGAACTTCCTCACGTGACCCATCAGGTTGATCTAGGTGTCGTCCACTGTTCCACATTACACTCTGGAGACAACTGGAAGAAGGCGGCTAGTAAAGGGTTCCGGATGTTGTGGTTTATCCGTCGTTCTTTTGGGACCCTAACCGCTGTGTTTGTGAAGCTTTTCTCAGCGTTTGTGCGACTCCACCTAGGATATTGCGTCCAGACCTGTCCACGATGCCTTGTCCGGGACAAAATGGCACTAGAAAGGGTGTTGCGTGTCAGTACTAGGTTGGTCAAGGGATTACGAGGGCAAACGTACCCCGTACGCCTACTTAGTTTGGGGATGCAGTCAATGCACTATCGAAGGATTAGAGGGGACCTAATCCTAACCTACCGTATTTTGACTTGGAAGGTTGGCCCTGATTTGTCCATTTGCTAGATTATCTGGTCTCCGCGGGCATTGTATGAAGCTGGACAAACCGCGGTCCGATCGAGTTAGAGCGGAGACACGGTAATCACGTCGAGTCATCGAGCGCTGGAACCTGCTTCCAGAAAATGTTGTCAAAGAAGCTACGGTTAAGGGGTTTGAGCGTCAACTAGATGCTCTTGGGTGGCAACACGAAACCTTTCCGTTTTCCTGACAAATTCCCATCTTCATACTTCGATTATATTTTTCTTTACTTTTCCTCGCCATTGGTATTATTCTCTTCCTTTAACTGATTTCACCTACTCTCTTACCTTCGCTTTTTCTTCCTCTCTTACTTCACGTAACTGACAGCTGGGACAGCTAATGTAAGGAACGTGGGCATTAAATTGGTGGACCAGGGTGCTTTTTCGGGTGTTTCCCTTTTAGACCCATCAAAAAGTCGGAGCACCCCTATCAACTCCTGGATCGACGACCCGCTCAAGAAGGAACACTTACGGGATTCATCTTATCGTTCCAGTCCCACTTGAGCTTGAACCATGTCCAACCAAGTACTGCCCACCTTTTCCTGCCCAGCAGTCCCTGCCAGGCCGGTTTATGTGAAGTAAAAGAGTGAAGGGTAAGCTAAGAAAACAAGAGGAGGAATGTCAGCTAAATAATGATAATACCAAGGTGAGAAAATTAAAAAAGAACGAAGGGAAAGTTGAAGACGCAAGTCGGTTAGGAGAAGGGGAAGGTTTGGTACTGCCACCCAAGAGCATCTAACTGACGCTCGAAACCCTCTACCGTAGACTCCATAACCACGTGCGCCGGAAGCGAGTTCCAACGTTCAATAACTCGACGCGACAAGCGAGTTTCCGTCCTTACCCGGACAGAACGCTGTTTGTGCAGCTTCAACGGGTGACCTTGGAGACTAGGCAGCTTGGCGGGACTAAATAGCCAGGACAAGTCTGGACCGATCTTACCCGTTAAGATACGGTCAGTGAGGATCAAGTCTCCTCTAATTCTGCGGTAGTGCATTGAGTATATACCCAAGCGAAGCAAACGTTCGGGATACGTTTGCCCCCATAATCCTTGCACTAACCTTGTACCCACTCGCAAAACCCTCTCCAGTTCCATTTTGTCCCTTACAAGACAAGGTGGACAAGCCTGGATACAGTACTCTAAGTGAGGTCGCACAAAAGCTGAGAACAGCTTCACAAAAATATTGGCCGTTAGGACACCGAAGGAGCGGCGAATAAACCACATCATACGGAACCCTCTACAAGCAGCCTTCCTCCAATTTTCCCCAGAGTGAAGCAATGAGGTATGGGTGATACCTAGATCAACCTGCTGAATGACAACAGGGAGTTCACTTCCACCAACTACATAGCGCGTGGGGGGACTAGCACCTCCAATGCGGAGGACAGAACATTTCGTCTGATTTATGGGCATCAACCATAAGGTTGACCAATTCCAGAGCCTATCCAAGGCACTGTGAAGTGCCTCAGAGCCACCAGGGATATCCACAATATTCCAGAGCTTGAGATCATCAGCAAACAATAGCGACGGTACTCCAAGCTCCTCGGGTAGGTCATTTACATAAAGTGCGAAAAGCAACGGCCCTAAAACCGAGCCCTGCGGAACGCCACTAAGAACAGCTTGTCTAAGCGAAAGGCTACGCCCCACGCGTACACACTGTTCTCTGCCCTCTAGGAAAGCAGAAACCCATTTAAGGGCGGCTCCAGATATCCCATACGATCTCAACTTCAATGAGAGTCGCTGATGTGGGACAGTATCAAAGGCTTTCGAGAAGTCAACGAAAAGCACGTCGATGGCGTGACCTTTGTCTACTGCCTCAGCCCAGCTTTCACGAGCTACAAGTTTGTCGGATATGAAAATCCCTTACGGAATCCGTGCTGGGCTACACTGAGGTTGCAATTAATCAAGTGATACTCCACCGAATCCCTGACCAATTTTTCAAACAACTTAACTACTACACTTGTTAAGCTGATAGGCCGGTAGTTCGCGGGCAGAACTCTGTCCCCGCCCTTAAAATTGGACGGATGACTGCTTTCTTCCATTCTGAAGGTAAGGCCAGCTGTCGGGTGATTTTGTAAACATGCATGTCAGAGGGCCATTCGCTCAGCGGCCAATTCATGTATCAGCTTCGGATGAATTGAATAAGGGCCAGAAGCTTTGGAAGGGTTTAGCCCTTGCAATAGCCCAAAAACTTGTGTCTCCGTTATGCTGATTTCATTTAGGTAAGAATCCCCCGGAACTTTTGTGACCAGCTCAACCTGAGGTAGAGGCCACATGAGAAAAGACACCAGTATACTGTTCGCTAAGTATACAGGCATTATCGTAGTCGGTATGCCCATGGGTCCCATCCGCTCGTAGTAAAGCAGGTATAGACGAGTTTGTACCGCTACGTCTCTTTACGTAGCAAAGAACTTTGGATTTGTTACGGCTGCGTTAGCCAAATCCTCCTAGTACTGAAGACGAAGAGTTCTAAGATGATGCTTACATTTATTTCTAACCGCTCGATAACTTTCGTAGGTGCTGGTTGATGAAGTTGCTTGGTAAGTTCGCCAGCACTTAGAGCGCTTCCTGAGCAGGTATTTACCTGTATGATCTATCCATGGAGGCTGCGCCCGTGTCACCCTTCTCTTAGTGAGTGGAATGTGAGGAACAGAGATCTCGGTGAGGTATGCCTTAAATTTCTCCCAGGCTGTCTCAACGGTGTCAGCCACGGTCATTGCACAACGCAAAACTGAAGCTTTGTCGCGCATTGCGTTAAAGTCTGCCCGCCAAATATTTGGACATACATCAGCGATAGCTTGATAACACTTAATTAGAAGACATCGAAAGGATATGCAGACATGGTCACTGGCTCCTAGAGGACAGTCGTAGGTATACTACTAACGGAACCCCGTGACTACGCAAAAATGAGATCCAAGGTAGACGGAATTTGGTTGCGCATATATCTAGTCGGGAGGTCCACGAACTGATGCAAAGGCAGTTGTAATGTTAGCTCAAGGAGATCCGAACCGAAAGTGCTTACCGCCGAACTGCAAGATAGATCGACTAAAGAACTCACAATGATGGCGAACAGAAGGGATCCGACAAATAAGAATATCCGCACAAATGCGCTAGAACGGCGGAATAATGAAATGAGCATTAATCGTTTATCCCACAAAGGAGACTAAGAAACTGCCTAACTGCAAGAAAGCAAATATGACGGCGTTTATTGGGTTTATTGGGCCACGATGCAGTACAAAATTCAGAACCGCAGTTTCGAGAAAAGCCAAGGATTTTCACGCGACTTATACCTGCGAGACAACGATGAGTTAAGTAGGCGAATTTACCTTTGCTGAAGCTTTAGTTTCGCTTCCAACCGGGCCTTGCGACGGAGTGACTTATCCATCAGTGCGTTTTTGTTTATAAGCTTGGTATCGAACGGGATATTAACCATGTGTCTTGTGGGGAGCAGATGATTGTAATTGATAATTTTCACAAAAGGTTTTATTTTGCACCGACTTTCCATTCGTTTCTTCCCCATGCGACGAACGATACGCCTGGGGTATCGGTCGATTCCGACAATAAGTGCGTGGCCATACGGTTTCTCCTTCGAACCGTCATCGTAACTCTTTATGACAATACCCTTGCGACCTGTATACCGTCCAGCCAAAACAAGAGCAACAACACCAGGTCGCATAATGCGCACTGTAGACCTAGAGGAGAAAATAAATAAGAGACAAAACCAACCTAACTTCTCTCGACATCACGGAGGGAAGACCGAACTCACAATGCGCGAATGTAAGTTGGCTGTTGTAGGTACAGCTACATGACATCCGAAGTAGTGGATGTAATCAGCAGGATTAAAATTGCAGGCAGGTTTTCCTTATTAATAATGCGAACCGTGCAGCAGCCAGTTAGCGTATAGCGGTTGGATACTGTATAGGATTACCCTTCGTCATATTTTAATTTTAGTTCTTATAGCCGCAGCACAAGGTGTTCGTTTCCAACTGCATTGTTTACTTCATTTTAAACTTGTGAATCTGCTGCAACCGTTTAGCTATTGTGCATTTGTTGTTGTGTTAATTACTTTAAAATGCATCAGGTAACAAGTGGGAACATCCAATTCAAAATCGCGCTTATCGTGAAACGGTTGATCCCCAGAAGAGTCGGACAGGTGGCGCCAGACAGCATGTTGAATAAACCAAGCAGTTGCTGATATATGCCATATTTAGCATTATTTGACAGGCAGAGTGTGGTTTTACTGTGACACAAAAATAGCAGCCTATTATTGATTTGCTTTCCTAAGTTCAGTTCAAATGCATTTATTACCGAAGTCATAGGATAATCCCACGACTTGTCCTTCTTTTGCGTATCGTTGGACCTGGAATTGATAGACTTGCTTAAGCTGTTAAAAAGCCTAAAATAGAGACCGAATCACACCCTGCCCAACCAATTGCTGCCCACATTTTCATGCCCAGCAGTCTCTGCCAAGATTTTTAGTTGAATTAACGTGGAAAACAGTGTTTGAATAAACACTTGAAACAAAATTTGACTATTGTCAAATTTCCTCTGATCCAAGATATCTCGGATCGATTAAAGCGGTTCTGGTCAAAGCGTCTTTGGCGCTTACTGGTAATTTTTCCAGTTTTTCCTAGTTTTAACCCCGTTTTACACCCCGCTTTTGCCTTTTTTGAGGTCACTTAATTATTGCATACGTGTTATAATCACTTTATTGTCCACTATGTCGGTCTCGCAATACACCGAGGCTGTTGTTCCTGATGGCTCGGATTCTGAGGTTATCGCATTTTGTGGCGGCCCAAGCTGCCATATACCAGTAACTGACGATTCCGGCCGTATGCAATGCGATGTCTGCATCCCATGGTACCATCAGCTTTGAACGGAGCTAAATACCGAGCAGTACGCAGCGCTGGCCTCTAGCGAAATGTTGCTGGTCAGTTGTGCCAATTGCTGCAGCAGCCGGCATGGCCGCACAGCCTTTCGTACGAGAGACGAATCTCTTGATACCCGGCTGCGAAATTTAGAGCGTTCGTTCTCGATGCACTCTGATCTTCGCTTTAAGATTGATCTGCTTATGACGAGGCTACCGGTCTCCAACAAAGCAGATTTGATCGCTTACCCTCATTATAAACTTGTGGCACCTAGCATTATGTCACCGGTCCAGATGGCTACCGACCACCAAAATGAAGCAGCTTCGGACGTCAAATCTAAACCTACCCTGATCGACGCCGAATTGCTGATTCAAGGGTCACTTCGAGTTAAGCGAAGGAGAGCTAGGAAACCTAGTAAGCTCACTGCTACACATGAAGTTGTTGTCTGGGCACCGGAAACAAGCCAATTGTCGTTACTTGGCAAACCGTCTGACGGTTATGCGAAGGCGAAGATCCCAACACGCACTACTTGTCAGCCGAAGTTGCCGGAAATCTTGGTTCTCACCGAGAAGACATTTTCCGAAGGTTTGTTCGATTCTGCACAAAGCGAAAAAGCCTCACGGGACCCTGTTCCTGTTATCAAGAAGAAAAAGCTGACAAGCTCTGCTATAAAGCCTTTCGGTGAAATCGATGACCTTAACAAAAGTAAGACATTGACAATGGAGCGAAAACATACGCTGCCGTTGCTACATCATCGGAGGGGCTAAAGACATTTCCATCACCATTAGTGAAGCCACCTGCTCCGAGTGCCGAATCAAAGACCCGTGAGGTTAATACACCCCGTTGTGGCGATGCTTTCACGAATAGTACCGTTATATTCCGTACCGCGGCTGGATCTACTGCTGTCCTTCCTGCTGATAGCATTTTGGACGACCTACAATGGTTTAAAATGTGCGTAACGAAGCTGCTTCCGCCTGGTTTTCCAGGCGTTACTGTCAGGAAGCTGATAAGACTGAGGAATGTCCCAGTTAACGTACCAAACCCGCGACCGCGGCTACTTCGTGTAGTACTCTCTACCCCGGAGGAACGCAATGCTCTCATGCGGTTTGCGTTTAAGCTGAAAGGTACAAATATTAGCGTTCAGCCGGACCTTCCGCTAGCCGATAGGCTGAAGCTAAGAGAGGCCATCAAGGACCTCAAAAGCAGGCGAGCGGCCGGTGAACAAGGTCTCCGGTTAGTGGGTTTTCGGGTAGTCAGCCGGCGGTCCTTTTCCGCCCTACCACTGCCCATTCTGGTAGCGCACGACCCAGGTCTGAATCTAACGAAAAACTTCAGATGGTGCTAAGTAATGTGCACAGCCTAAGGAATAAGGTGTACGAGTTAGGTCTGCTTGTAGATGGGTCTCATCCCGATATACTAGCATTCACTGAAACGTGACTGCCTCAGGACATCACGGATGGTGAAGTACATCTTTCCGGCTGCGCACTATTTAGATGCGATCGCCCTGCTGGCCGACAGGGAGGGAGCGTCGCTCTTTATGTGAGCTGTAAACTTGACGTTTTGAAGACTTGCTTATTTCAGTCGGCAGACAAAACTGTTGAAGCGCTATCGGCTGTTATTAGCACATCCTCGGCTCAGGTTACAGTTGTAATTGTGTATAGAAGCCCTGGGAGCGTATCCAAAGAGGTACTTGAATTCATTCGCTCCCAGTCCGCAAATAAGTGTTTGGTGATGGGCGACTTCAACCTCTCAGAGATTTGCTGGGCAGATCTTTCTTGCGACTCAGCGTCAGGCACATTCGGCGCTGCTCTGCTTGAACTTACGCTCCAAGTATCTTTGCACCAGTTCATTGACCTCCCCACTAGGTACATGGACGCCCAAGTACCGTCTATCTTAGACCTTGTATTCGCTATGTCACTCGATTTTTTGATGACATTACTTACGGACCTCCACTGGGTTCCAGTAATTATGTTTGTTTGCTCTTCAGTTGTACTCTGTCTAGACGATACCAGAGGACTGCTGAGTCTCGCCCGAACATATAGCAAGCAGACTATCAATCAATGAGAGCCAGGCTTCGGCTTTCCATTGTGAGATCTCAGACGACGATACTGTCCAGGTTGCCTAGGATAAATTTAAGTCCTACCTCACAGAGGTCTCTGCTCCCTTCATACCAGTCACAAGGAGAAAGGAGGCCCTAGCACAGCCGCCCCGGTTAGATCCCACTGGCATGCATCTGCTCACAAAGAGGTCTAGACGTTGGCGGACTTACCGAGATGCTCCGTCCACCGATACTTATGACAGGTACTGTAAGGCTAGAATAGGTGTAAGCAACACTTAAGGCATGCTCGGCTCAATTTTGAAAATGGGTTAGCGGACGAAGCTTCAGGGAATCCAAATAGATTCTTCGCTTATGTCAAAAGGCGCTGCGCTTCGAACATGACAATTCCATTATTGGTGCGTGATGACGGTACTCATGCGCATACGGACTACGACAAGGCCTGCATACTCAGTGGGCAATATGCGGCAGCGTTTGTAAGGGAAACTTTGTTGACAGGCGTTGGGCTGGTTTGCGGTGTGATGGGAGTATACACTCGAACGAACATGCGGTGCCAGCCCAGCAAGGAAGCCGGTAGGCCGCCACAAGGAAAGGCGGCAGCTGATTAGACGTTCACACTTTTCTCGCATGCACGCTGATTGACCAACAGTTGGACGCACTGGAGTGAGTTTGTTTGACTGAATCAAAGGAAAATGTTATGCATTCACAAAGGTCGTTAATTATGGATCCAACTAGCTGTATATACCGATGTATTTCACTCGCCCTCTGCCTGCGTTTTTGCCTGGTCCTTTTGTTTGCCGAATATACGTTTTGTCCCTGAAGGACCGACTTTTAACATGGTGTCAGCGAAGGAGAAGGACATTAGTAACACCCACATGATGCCTGGAGCTTCACCGGCTATTCACATGCCTGCCCCGCTGAACATGGATGAACGCAGTTTGGTAAGCAACTGGCGTTTGTAGAAGAGCAAATGGATGGATTTCTGCACTTTATCGCATCTGGACAAACAACTGATGGCGTACCGCTTGGCCATGTTTCGACACGCAGCAGGAGATGATGCGCGCCGCGTGCTAGAGACATTGTGTCACAACAAGAGCGAAGATGCCAAAAATCTGGAGACAGTTGTTGAGAAGTTCAGTGAATACTGCAAAGGCAAAACAAACGAGACATTTCAACGCTACCTCTTCTTTTCGCGGAACAGGCGGCCAGGTGAATCAGCTGACACATACGTCACTGAACTAAAGATTTTGGCTCGATCCTGCAGTTTCTGTAAATGCATGGCGGACAGCCTCATATGGGACCGCATTGTACTTTTGATCAATGACGAAGGTTTGACGAAGCGACTATTACGAAAGCGCAACCTATCTCTGCAGCAATGTATCCACATCTGTCACAGTGAGTCCTCCACTGCCTATCAGTTCCAGCAGATGACAATCGCAGGTGATTCAGAGTTGTGCGCCGTTTCCATGAGCAAAACTACGAGGGCCACGACCGCGCGACAGGAGCCCTGCAACTTCTGTGCAACACGACATCCGTGGGACCGCGAACAGTGTCCGGCGTGGGACCGCATTTGTGTCAAATGTGGGGAGCGCAATCACTTCGCCCGCTGCTGTTAGTCGATAGATGTCAGTGCACTCGTTCCAGGCAAATCAACAGAAGACACCGAACAATGGATTGGTAACGGGTCTCGGAAAGCGTCGCAGAGGTGTGTCTATGCAAGTCTGCTGATCGAGAGACGGTCTATGCGAGTCCAGTTAGACACAGGCGCGACGATCAATATTTTGCCCAGAAAGCACTGCCGCGGCGTGCAAATTCAATGGGATCAAGATTATTTGCGCATGTGGAATGGTTCCAGACTCAAGACAAAGGGCTCAGCGACAACTGAATTGGTCAATCCGAGAGACGGTTTTTCGCATCGTCTGCAGTTCGTGATCGTGGATGAGGATCTCACGCCGATTCTCGGCATTGATTCGATTTTATCTCTTGGCTTTGTCATTTTTAACCATGATCGTTTCGTGTACGCTTGGCAGAGTGAAGCCGATGTCAGGGACCC